TTAGGTGCTTGCCTCAGTATCAACACAACAACTGAATGTTTAATCTCTCGAATGACTGTCCGTTTGTTTCGCCGTTATTGCACAATGTTGTATCGAACGTAGGATTCGAACACCCCAGAAATTTAATTTGTTATTGATGAGGTGATAATGCCACTGCACATTGTGCATAGCCAATAGGTACCCATTTTCGTTTCCATTTTATTATAGCATTTATAAAATAAGAAAGACATCAGATGGTGTAAATTGTACGATGTTTTGCCTTTACCTAGTATGTACCATTAAGATTATATATATATATATATATATATATATCGGGGGTTGGGATTCAAAGCAGTATAAAAGGGGGGTGAGATGATTAAGGTGAATAACGAGAAGAACAACCAGTAAGATTTGCCTAAATCTGGATAGAATTTATGTAAACATTTTATTCTAATAATTTGATATGTGCATCAAGTGAACACAATTCTGCAAGCGTCTGTGATGGAATACACAACTGAACGCAATGAATAGAGGAAAGCATAGGATCCTATAGATATGAAAAGTTCCTGTTCGAATCGCGTGCAAATCACCAACCTGAACTGAGACTTTCAGTGTTGGCTTACTTAAGGTTTTGAAAACAGTTGATGTGGTTGGTATTCAGCCAGGCGGCCGGGAAACAACACAACAGTAAAATTCCTCAAATATGTAGTTACTTGATTACCATTTAAAGCATGAAGCGCCTTTTTCGCCCGCTCGAGTAGATCAGTCTAGAACTATCTATCGCATTCCAGCTCCACAGAACACGCACAAAAATTAAGAATTGCAATCTACTCGCTGTATTGCACTGCTAATGCCAATGGCACTTACCTTGAGACTATCCAAAATGTATCGGCCTCCACGCTGTGGATGTCCGAACACATTGAGCAATGTACGATCGGTCACAGTCCCGGGGATAGGAACCGGGGCTAATGTACGAGGTAGCTTTTGACGACGCAAGAAACATGGCACTCCGTCGCGACCGGAATTAGCAGGGATCACTTCACGAATATCAATAGTATCATCGGCTATAAAAAATAAAGGGGCATAAATGATGCTCAAATACTTTATGAAGAAGGATCTTAGAAACGGTTGACGGAATGAACTGGACCGATGAACAGGACACTGGACCCCAATGGCTTGAGGTTTTCATACACCGCCCCGCTGCCTTGCCGGTTAGGCTTTGGCTAGCCGAAGGCTACAGTTGTGGATTCCTTGAGAAAATGCACCTGACTTGGCCTGGGCAACCTGGTAGTATTCGGCCCACGTGAAAATCATGGAACGCGTTTTTCTTCTTTCTAAAGATCATTGTACGATGATTTGTTTGTTACACAGTCTGGCGTAAGGGGTGTGTGAAATATAATATAATAATATACGGAGTGAAATGGGTCTAATCAAATAACTGCTTTGATACTATTATCACTGTTGTAATGAATATCCTTTTCTAAACATTATTGCTTTTGTAGGTAGCTCAAATGTGCCATACAACAACATAACCTGACTTTCCTCGCACATGGCCTAAAGCAGTTTAACTGATATTGCATATATATATATATATATATATATATACGTTGATGAACACTTTTGATTGCACAATTATGTTTTGATTTCCGAAACTTCTCGATCACCTAACATTACTATGATCCTAGCCTACGAGATAACGCCAACCACGGCGTGTCACGTTACAGTTTCTGGATAACGCATCGCAGATCAATGGAGAAAACTAATTATAAGCCGTTCAACCAAAGCTGTATGATGTCAAGGATGGAATTAGGCAACTGGCGAAGATCTGTCTAACCAATGAATTTTGTTTGTATATGTTATTTATCCCATTGATTTTACCCGATAGACTAACGGCTACACTTGTGGCTTTTTTCACGCATCTCGGTGACGGGCTATCTCAGCGTATGACTGCTGGTGTGATTCTTCGCTTCGGTTGTGACCGTGATTCGTGATGCGTAATTCGTGTCCATCTAGACTATTATAACTACTCATTCAAGGAAACTTCAGCTGAATAAATTGGAAAGATGAATTGTTTGTTTAATATCCAAGCAAAGAATGCAACTATAGTCTGTGACATGTCATTTGCATCTGGACTCGGGCGGGTGTGAAAATATCTAATATCGATGCTTGTAGCCGAATAAAAAAGAATAGTTACTAGTAGTTGTTTGTACTAGTTAAATCAATTACCCAATAATAACCACACGCCTGCCACTTAGAGTATCCCGACGCAAAATAAATGAAAACAGGAAATAAACATTCGCATTGTCAGAGTTTCGAACTAACCTAAATAATACTGTAAAATCATCTCCCTTGGATCGCCGTACATCGATTCGGTATCGTCCCAGAAACAAAAGAATCTCAGTACATGTCGATCGTGGTCCAGAAACTGGCGCAGTTTATCCATTCTTTCGTATGGTCGTAATGGTTGTATAGATTCGTTGAACTGAAAGGAGATAGCAACTGGATAAGCGGATGTTAAGGAAAGTTCGAAACATGTATTTGAATGCGACTAAACGTTGTTATGTCCAGAAAGGTGTCAACTTTCGTATTTCCGGGTATGTCTGCGCGCACGTCTGAAGGTACGACCGAGTTACACTGTCAAATTCGTCTGCACATATCGTTTATTTATTAAAAGAGCGCTATCGAAGGACGACTTATTTGTCTGACTCTCAGCTACTAGCGCTGTGATTCAGAAATGACAAATAACTGTTTGATTCAGTTCTGAACTGTACAATGCTTATAATCACATGTTTAGTTAGCATAATTACTATTTTATCAACCTCGATTAAAATCGTTAAAACCGGTGGGAGATAAAATACTTGCAAACCCAGTTGCCCAACATAGATTATCCGAGGAGAAAGGTGTTCCACTTACATGGGTGAATCAGCTTCAATGCATTTTGCTAGTGTACCCTTGGTGCCGGACAGTATCCATGTCGATGGTCAAATTGAACAACCTCCATAGGCTACAGCGGTTGGTGCTTGTGTTGTGCATGTCACCAAATAGGTTAACACGGAAAGCGATGTTTACCGGCGCAGACAGTGGATGGAAAAAGTTCAAGGGCGATCAAATCAAGATTTAGCATGAGGGTATGAAAACTGTCTTTTTACCTATGTTCTGTATCCCAACCCCTCCCCCCAAGTTATTGTTATTATTAATTATTGTTGTGGCGTTGGCACCTTGACTGTCCGAAATCCGGTGTTATATATATATATATAAACCATAACCGGCACACTAGATCACATTATTCCGTTAGGCGCTCTGGATGGGGACCCTGAGAACATGGTAACCGGTGATTGGAGATACTGAGTGATATGCTTGAGTGTGGCAAACAGTGGGGCTCATGCATCTACTCATTATTCTTGCAAACACAGTCTATATGAATTCTCTATCTTCGCTTTAATTCTGCTCTCAACATTTCAATCTTCATTCTGCTTTTTCATCCCAATGGGCAGCCAAGAGACAGCAACCAAAACCTGCACATGAAGGCGCATGGTTAATAATTGTAAGAACTGAAACGGAAACTGAACGAATTACAAACATTTGAATAGCATATGTGATAGAAAGCATACAGTGAAAAAATGAATCACTTCGTGTACGGCCCTTGATCGCGATATTTCAGCGTCCGCGAAACAGATCATAGTTTTGGTTGGAATAAACCCAGTATTTATTTGAACTTGAAAAACTCCTAACGATACCCCTGAAACCTAAAATGGCTTTAACCCTAGGTTTTTGTTATAAACTTATGGCCTGGTACTTTGTTTGTTGTCATTTATGGTATGGAAGTATAGTGACTACAATTTTCGAAAGCTGACAAATGAATTTTAGATAGTGGATTGGATCTATAACATATCTGTCAGAGGGTTTATCAACGGTTACCAATTTTCCAATTCCCTTAAACACTAAACACTGACTGATTATGTTTTTTTTCTTGGGCTCCTTGTCCTAGTTGGTTAATCGAACCTGTTTGATGAGATATGGAGCTGCATACACTATATTGTAGCACTTCGTTCATTTTTCGGTCGTCAAAAGTTTCACTCGTGCAACAGCTCACCTTCTTGACTTGGTTTCTTCATTTTCATTTTACAAGTACTCTTAACTTCTAACTCTTTCATGTACTCCTCCCTCATTGATCGACCAAACGGATGAACGGAATAAGGTATCCAAAACTGATGCACAGCGGTGTAAGGATATTGATTGTGAAAACGGGAATTGAATCCCCTAACAAACTAAAACTGAACGTGCTAAACAGTTCTTGTTTCTCTCAACTCGTCAAGAAACGCCATCAACGATGGCTTTGTGAAAGATTGGTGCGAATGAAGTTAGTCATTCTGGATACATTACCCATAGAATTGATCCGGAAAAGGCGCTCAATTGGGATGTATCGATCGGTCGTTTATCGATTAAGGGTGACCTGGGTTTGGAAACTGTTTATGACTGAGGTGATTGCCACTAGCCTTTAAAGTCCGAACTTCTGTGAATAAAACGGCTGGTTCGAGTACTTCAACTACCTTGGTCCAGTCTTAGCAGTTACACCGCACATTATGTATCACTTGACCCCAATAAAGAAAAATGATATCAACCAACAGTGATTCATTTCATTCACGTGAGCACGCACAATTTCCTCTCTGATCCTCCACAGGCACAAATTATTGACATAGAACCTAGCCAATAGCTACCGTTATGTAAACCTTCTCTATTTAACTTTGTCATAGATTTAATTATTGAAACAGCCCTATCCTCGTGCAAGGATAGCGGTATCGATTTACTTCCGTGTGGCAGACTGTCTTATCTAGAGTACGCAGACGACATTGTGCTACTAAGTGAAGATCCAGGTAATTTGCAAGCTTTTCTGGACAGCTTGAATACCAGTGTAGCCATGTTCGGCTTGCGTTTTGCACCTTCAAAATGTAAAATTTTACTACAAGACTGGGGTGATCCAGTACCGAGCCTCACCTAACTGGAGAAGTAGTAGAGGAAGTAGACAAATTTTGCTATCTGGGTAGCTATATCTAACCCGGCGGACGAATCACAGATGAAGTATCGGCGCGCATACAAAAGTCTCGGCTGGCATTCGCCAACTTGAGACATTTGTGGCGCCGTCGCGACATCCGGTTGTCTGTGAAGGGTCGAGTGTATGCCACGGCAGTTCGGCCAGTCCTGCTCTACGGTGCAGAGACTTGGCCACTAAAGGAACAGGATAAAAATAGATTGTCGGTGTTCGAACACCGCTGTCTACGTAGCATTGCACGTGTCTGGTGGGGTAACCAGACTAGCAATACTGAGTTAGGCGTAGAGTTTTAGGCAGTTGCGGTCGTCCGCTAGAGCAAGTGATCGACCTCCATAGATTACGCTGGTTGGGACATGTGTTACGTATGTCGCCAGATAGGTTGCCGCGGCGAACGATGTTTTCCAAGGCTGGTAGCGATTGGAAAAAGATAAAGGGTGGTCAAACTGAGACCTGGCATGAGGGTATAAAAACCTTAACCAGGAGACTAGGCCCCGTTAGACTCCCTGGCTGGGGACCTCGGGATAATGATATGGTTGGGTGTCGCAAACAGTGGCACTTGTGCATCCACTCGTTACTCTCCTAACACCACTCTATTTGAATTACCCATCTTCCGCTTGAATTTGCTTCGACGTTCCTATCTTCATTTTGCTCTTTTATCCAACTGGGCAGCCAAAAGACAGCAACGAAAACCGGCGCAAGAAAGTGGATGGTTAATGGTTGTAAAAACTGAACTTAACTGAACGGATGTAAACCTTCTTGTCCAATATACGATTTATATCAGCATGATTAAGAATCACCAAAAATCGGTAAAGGATCCCTAGCACGTTCTCTTAATATCGTCAAATGACACCATTATTCTGATTCACACATTCCATTTCATCCGGTTTTAACTCACAGCTTTCCGATGTACGGAATAGGGATCATCCGGTATCGGCTCTGGTTCCCCAAGCCGAAAGCCCATTTTGCGTAAAAAGTTGGCTGTGAACGGATCACACGCCACTAAACGGAAAGTTTTCCCATAGGCTGTGAAATTTTTACCCACATTGAAATCATCTATGGTGTAAAACAAATGACTTTCCGGTTCCGGTTTTGCTATCCGATGTCGACGAATAATCGTACCTGACCGGGGGAGGGGGAGGCGTATGATCAAACTGAGTTACTGAATGTTTACGGTTCGAGGTGTATAAAGAAATTAGTTGATTCGAAAAATTGTAAAATAGAACATACGAGTTCGTCTCTCGTTCACACATGATATACATTAAACAAAACAGCGTCAGGTGGAGCACATCCCACCCATTTCTGTCATTGTTATTGTTGCGTTGGCACGATGCTGATTTGCAAGCCGCTGATATATACTCACAAAACCGGCGCACGAAAGTGCATCAATAATCGTTGTAAGAACTGAACTGACCTAATCGCGACTGGTTCACTGATATCCTTGTTACATAATGGCCATAAATCACCAGTTTGCAATAAATAAATTTGGACTGTTTCGTTTCGAGTCGAACCCAGGTAAATGACAGGGAAATCAATAGGATGACGCTTCAATGTGAATTAATTGTAGGGCCTGCAAATTCTAAACTTTAAGCGGTTTGAGTATGTCCTTTACTGTCTTTTTGGAGAGCGCAAAGACGTTTTATCTGGACCATCCTTAGAAAGCGCTTTTGATCTCGAGGTGTGTAAAAAAACATTTTCAACAAGTATTTCGGTAGTTTTAGTTGGATAAATTTAACACTGTGGAATTGGAAATTCTGTGTTCGTAACCGTTTGTCTAGAAAGAGTTTGAATAGAATGGTAACTTAGATTTCCATTGGCCCAAATCTGATCCTGTTTGTGAATTCCCACTAAGAACTTTATCGGTGTTACTGAAAACGCCAGTCATATGAGAGTGGACTGAGGTTTTTGGTTGTATTACTTAGATTGAATATCCAAGTACTGTGTATGGTTTTCAACTAAACAACAACAACAACTTTTCCTCCTCAGTCTCGTTTTGTATAATCAATAATTGTTTTCTTATAGTACTCCAGTGTCTAGTAAAGGTAAACTGCTTAGTTATGAGGCTCTACTCCTCACGTATGGTAACGGGAAATCCAGACCCTGATACCAAAAGTGGTGAACCATATAAGACCCCGTTGGGGCAAGTGTGGTACTCTGAAGAACGATAGCTAAGCTCTCTGTCCCCGAATTCGAATGTGCGGTCTCAAGCGTACTAATAACAGTGACTTGAACCGTTTGATCACCATTATCCTGCTGTTTTCCTAACTTAATTATTGAGAAAATTGTTTGTTCTAGTAATCCATATGATCAATAGTACACAGACCCTTTGAGACGGAATTCCAATTTCGAAATTCCGCCCATTTCGATCACTTTGCTTGGTGACTATGTGGTTAAACAGCCTCTTTCGATTTGTTCCTGATACTACTGTGAAACCACTGCTAAGTTAGATTTCTTTCAGATAAACGAATAACGGTGATCAATTAATAACATCCAGTTTTGGCGGGAATTAAACTGCATCCCAATTCCCACGGATGACAGAAAGTAACTCGAGGACATACAGATTGTCAGTCAATTCTCACAACTAGATGGGTGAATTCGTGGCTTGGACCGCGATAGATCGTTTGCTGTTCCGTGTGTGTTCTAGCTACACACGCCTATCTATGACCCAGTCAAGACATAAGGAGATTGGAGCGAGATAGTAACGTGCATTTGCGTCACACGAATCCACACTAATACTTAATTGAAACCGGATACTCCACCCGAGACTTTAAAGCAACAACCCTACGGCCAACTGGATGTGATCAACAATCTAGACAATTCAGATATAAAATGTGTATACTGCATTCACGCATCCACATAAATCAGCATTCCGCTGTGTGTGTAGGTGTACAGACCAGTGCCCGACCCATGAGGATTTGAATCACATGAGTGATTGACGCCCATCACCGGATAGAGCGCGCGCGAGAGAGAGAGAGAGAATGAAAGACTGTACATGCATAAACAACCTGGATATCGGAGCATGAGTGATTTTTAATGATCTCGCTCGCTCTCGGTATGGTGTGTACACATTGTTCAAATCGAATAGTAAAAGACTTACCTTGGGGCATTCCGGTATTTGATATACGTGGCTCAACCACTTGAATTGTATCGTCTTCTGGATAGAAAAATACCTTACAACGACGCACGCGGTACTGTTCTTCACGACGTTCGCTCACAGACTCTTGAAAGTAGGCCTCAAAACACAATGCCTGTAGACGAATCAAATGAATACCAAATGGTGTGTGTGCGTGATGGATAGATGACTGGATTTGGTTGAACTAAAAAATTCAGCGGTATACGCTGTTTAAGCTGTTCAACGATTGTTTTCTTTTCTGGAGCAAAACGTGTTTGAACAATCAATTTAGGCTCATGTGCGCAACACAGACATTGTCCGAGCAACGGAAAACGCTTTTTTTAGTCCAATAGGGCAATCCTTTTGTACTATCAACGAGAATTCGAGCTATTGAGGATTGTTCAAGCATTTTACAAAGTGCTTGTTGCTTTCCACGATGAATTGTGAATCTTGATATTGCTCTCAAAGCATCGGATCCGAGAATAGAACGGATTATCCACGTATTAGGTTCATCCTGCTCATAGCACTGTAGCCAAAAATGGAGGTTTGGCTCCGCCCAGAAGAATAAACATCACGAGGGCAAAATCTGAGTTCATGCTTCTTTCTCATTTTATTATTCAGTTGAATATTTTGTAAGATCGGCACACGAGCAGTTTTTTTCTGATTGCCCAGATGAAATATAAAAGTAGGAATTCGATAGCCAATTAGCTCCATATACCACAAGTGGTCCGCTTAAAACATGAACTATATGCAAAGGAAGCATCACTATGGATACAAAATCGATGGGTCGGGCCTTTGGACTTCAAGTTGATAATCCAAGTCTAGGGCTCTAATCCAGTACACACCTATACAACGATTCCGACTTGAGTACTTATTTATCATATTTTAGAGAAATGTCAAGTAAATTAAAGTGAAATAAATATATCATTTCATCATCTACTTAAAAAAATATTCGATTTTAGAGAGATGTAGTATAGATACCGTTTGTGAATGAAAATTATCCCTAAACCATTTGCCCTGAATCTCCCCCCTTCCTCGCAGAACAACGTGAAATTCAATGACGACTTCATCATCTACCTTATGATTGGTAGTGGAATTAACGTTTACTACGTCTTATATTAATTAATTTAATTTAATTAAAACAAATAATTAAATAATTATTAATATTATAAATATTAAAAGGTAAGTCAAAAGTGCAACGATGTTAGAGATGGCAGGTATTATGGGCCACAAATACTTTTCGCATACATTTTGCGATTCTGCCATTGAGTACTCATAAGTAGAACCGCGAGAAAACGCATATATCTCGAAGTGCGTTGTTAGCATCATCTCAAGTTTATCGAGAGTGCATTGTTGGTGTGTAACGAACTGCCGAACTTTAATTAATTTAAAAGATTTTCTAATTTATTATCAAAGAAAATAGAAAATTTTATTAAAGCGTCAGTTCTATGAGTAATTAAATATCACGCTCAGTGAAAGAAAAACAATCCGAAAATGTCAAGGATAATGAGGTAGAAGCTTAGAATGCCCTGACTATTAAACCGAAATACTCCCAAGGTCTCACAACTCGTTTCAGTCATTTAAGTGTGGGTATATGAAACAAATCTTTTCAAGAAAAAAGTTCTATGCGAAGATGCAGCAGCTCACAAGTTTATTCTATTTTAGTCAGTGCAATCATTATCCGTATAAGAACAGTGATTACCTCAACCCAACCCGTGTTGCCTTGACATATGGGTATTCATCATGGTATCAGTTGAACAAATCTATGCTCAGAAAATAATAATTTTCTTCTCAGTCCCAAAAAGACGCTGCTAAGAAAATATTCGGTAGGGTGGTCGATTTCTTTCAACGATAGCCTACTTGGATTGAGTGGTATTTTGTACACTTTGATTGGGGAATGTTGTACGTGTCAGTTCCCTGTAATGTCATATGAGCATATATCAAGCCGATAAACGACAGGCCGATTATTCCCTGTATTCATTCTGTTGTACTAACAACCCCTAATACCTATGGTCCTATCTTATCCGGTTCCACGAGTTTCAACTGATAGGAATACTATCTTCAGTAGTGCTTTCGTGTAAAATATAAATCATCAAATCGGAACTTCTGCCAAAATATTTTTGATTTTTCCATTGCCCTACGAATTTCCGCAAACACGCCCATGACACTTAGTATTGATAGGTTTTGTGGACGTTTTACATAGCTCTGATTATACTCAGGTGTGTACGATAGTTGGTATGTCTCCTATTTTGCAATAGTACTCAACGGATTCATCAACTGGCTGATCAATGCGGAAAATTAAGCTTCAGAGTGATTGACGCATTCTGTTAGACTGATAGGCATCTATAAATCCTTGAGTATTTGTGGCCTACCTTTTGAACAATATTGACAATATTTCGAGTCAATTAGAAGTCATTGGGTCACCCTTGATTTCATTTATGGGTAAAGCAATATTTTTCCTTTTTCATTTGACTTCCTTTTATTGAACGTGCAGTGATACAGTTTTCAGGAACGGGGAAGCGGTCAATCAAAGGGCTCCCGTGCAACGCTTAAATGGGGAAGTCAGACGGTGATGGTGGAGTGATATTTTGGTAACGTTACTACCACCAAATAGAGGAGTGACATGTTGACTCCATTAAGCTCACACATGATCGGAAACCAAATAAAAAACTAGAGTATCTAAACCTAGAATTCGTACCTTTGTGATTTGTAATTTACAACCCCACTTATGCGACCTGTTACGATTTCTCATACTCAACGCACGAGAGGTCCTAACTTTATTCCTCAACAAAATTTTCTTAGATTGATGATCTGGATTTTGTGTTTGGAAATAGTAATCGTAATCCAAACTTGTGTTTATGCGCGCAGAGGGACTTCGGCCATGGGAAATAGAACACTGGTTAACATTAAGTCGAACTTCATTGCGTGCCGTAATTATGCATGTATGGAATCGTGTAGGTAATAAATAAATAATATTTGTTGTGCACGTCCTTATTATTAAGCCAACTTCTCACGCGGTATTATCTATCAGCAGCCTGATTCACTGTGTGCGGTCGCATAATTTGTGCGCTCTCGGTTCAAGTGGATTTACCCCGCCTCAGCTCATCGTACATTGACGAGTTTACGGTCGTTCGACTCAGCTCTGTGAGATCTATCTAGCAATATCTCTCTCGGATAAAAACCTTACCAAACACTCCGCCATTCTTTTCCGTGATTTGTAGCTAATATTTTGCCAATACTCACGCGTGCAAAGTTGTTCATTTTCCTTCGAAATGTCAATATTGTGATACCATTGTGAAGGAAATATTACGCTCCATCCAGCAAATCCGAATTGAGCTTTCTACGCCCAATTTCAAGTGCGTTGGGTATACATTTGTGCAATTCAGTTTTTGTGCCATTTACACCATCACTTGCGCGTGCCTCCACCCCATTACGACCAGTTCAGTCGATAGATATTCGCAAGCTAACCTGTCTTTGCTCTACGCGTCGGTGAAAATTATCAACACGTACGTGTGATCGGACGTGCACTTTTCATTGCACTTGACCTTTGTCAACTGTAGCCAACCTCGTCCTTCACAGTCAATCCGAAATGGGTCGGCGAAGTATGTCAACTAGCGCCGCTCCAGGGGTCACAACAGGACCAGGAGTATGCGGTGAATTGAAGTGTGGAAAAGAAATTAAGATCGGCATCTCATGCGCAAACTACATACGATCCTTTCATCCGTCGTGTGCTAAACTATCGGCAAAACGGGTAAGACTATTAGTTTCACAGACAATGTCTGGTTCTGTGGGGAATGCTCCAAGCTGCCCATTATCAAATGCATCACGGATATGACACATAGACTTGAAAACATATTAGCAGCCGTCGAGGACAGGGCAAAAGTACAATTTGCTTCTCCCGAAGAGAAGATAAAGACCCTCAGTTCCCAGATCCCTCCAGAAAGTCCAAACCCAAGGTCGTCAAAACGTCCGAGAAATGTCTTTAACAAAACAAATCAAGAGGTGGAGCGCAGCACTTCCTCTCCAATAGCCACGAGGAAACCAACGGTCGAAGTTTCGGTACCTGTAGTCAAAGTACCGCCATNCCGCCATACAAACGTCAGTCTCAAGCTACTATACCGTCACAAATGAACAAGAGAGTAGGTGGCAACACTGCACTCACGGTAATTTCCACAAATCTCCCAGAACCCACAAGTCAATCATTGAGGGAGAGGCAACAGAACGAGCTGAGTCGCTGGATAGAGGTATGTGCCCGAATGGGTTTAGAAGCAAAACCGGTGAGCCTCACACGTCTCTGGCGCCAATCGACATCACCACATATCGGAGAACCCAGACTACTTCGTGTGACGCTGGCCAGTGAAGAATACGTTGAAAATGTTCTTCTTTCTAGTTTTCTCATTGTAGATGGGTCCGGCAATACCAGAATTTTACCGGACAGACCTTGGTCTGAGCGTGTACACCGACGGAACGATCCCAACAGTGCACGCGATGCAAAAAACTAGCAGGCGATTCTCATACATGGAGTGCCGCAGCTCCCCGAAGCCGATGAATCCAAATGTCAAAAAAATAATTTTTACGAGTGGCGCATCATTCAAGAATTGTTAGACTGCTTCAATGTCTCTACCACGGCCATTAAACGTTTTCCGCGTTCGCCCAACTATCGCAGAGATGGTCCGCAAAATACTGAAGGTAACCCTTGAGACACCAGAAATGGTAAACACAGTTCTCCAGTCATGGTATGAACACAGAACCAGAAGGTCCAAAGAACTACGCGTAAGACCGATACTGAATTCAGGATCGAAAAATTGTCCACCAGTTGAAAATGGCAATCACATTGCGCGTGAAACACTGCAAACTTCATGCTCCTCTCCGACCCCATCACACCAAACCCAATAAACACCTACGGCAAAAAAACGTCTGCTGGCCGACGACGAGGTCGGACAAATTACGTCCCTAAACTCCAAGGGATTTCTGCACTGACAACGACTGAACTGTTTCTATACCAATGCTCAGGGTTTTTTCAGTAGTTTCCAGGAGTGGAACTACGTTGTCGGACCAGTCGATGGGGTCTCATTGCCTTAACCGAAACCTGGTTGACGACTGGCATTTTAGACTCCGAGCTGCGATTACCGGGCA